GAATTCTCAGTCTGATATCTGTCTCTTATACACATCTAGATGTGTATAAGAGACAGGGTTAAGCGTGAGTACAGCAGTCTTCAGCAACGAACACTGGAAGAAGAAACTGGCAATAGTATGGAAGAACCAGGAAGGGCATCGGTCAAGTAAGTAAATAAGCAGGCTCACTATTACATTATAACATAAGCATTTGGCACTGTAAATGATTTCTCTTGTGGAATATTCAGAAAAGTAATGATTCTAAATAGGTTTGGTAGTAATTAGTCTGTAACCTGGAGGTAATTCTCTATACTCATCTTATATACTCAGAGTTCTTTAACCTGCGCATGTTCTTTGAAGCACACATAACCAACGGCGTAAGCATCTCTACTGATAAATGATGCACTTCTAAATTAGAGAAGTAGTGGAATTGAACCAAGGATCTCTGTGGTTCATTGCACACAATAGCTACCAGCAATTTAGCCTAATGCTGTCTCTACCTTCATGTTCAGCCCAATGATACTATAGAAACAATTAATTTATTTTAATGAATACCTTTTCCTTTCTTAGGAGAACCGATAGCGACAAAATTCATGCAAAACAGATTATTCAAATGAAGGATCATTTGGTTGAGTTGGAACGCGAGGTGAGTAAGGTGTTAAGTCATTTAAATTAAGCTATTTCCAATGGTTTGTAATATTATTCACCATTTATGTTGTACTACAGCATTGTAATGTAGCTTTAGATGGGTTTAAATTCATGTGTGAACAGCAGTACCATTTGACCAAGATAGAGTTACTCTTCATCTTGATTGTGAAGGCACATGGAAGTAAATGAAATTAAAATATTAAAGAATTCATAGATTAATTAATTATTTGATGGATGAATCAAATAATTATTAAATAATAATGGATAAATAAAAGATATGTGAACATCACATACTATATTTATTTTTGTAGAATGCAACCCTGTTAGCAGAAAATACTAATTTGAAATCACAGAATGAAACATTTATTACTCAGACAACCACCCTCCAAACTGACAATAAATCCTTCCAGTCAAAGATAAATAGCCTACAGGATCAAAATTCAAACCTCCAATCCCAGTATGCAAAACTGCAAGTGGAACAGGCCACAATTGGTTCCCAGAATTCAACACTGCAATCACAAAACTCGCACCTCCAAAGCCGGCTCTCAAAACTAGAGCTGGAGGAAGAGCAATCCAAATCAAAGTTAGAAGACATGGATAAGACTTATGAATCACTCTTAGGCAACTACGATCAGTTGACACAGCTCCATGAATCTCTTAATTCGGAGTACGAAAGTTTGATCAATGAACACAGCGCCCTCAAGGGAGAAATGAAAACAGTGAAGAGTGCATTTGAAAACAAGAAAGTGCAATGTGAGGAGATGGAGAAGAAGAAGGAGGACATGCTTCTCTTGCAAAGCTCTCTTCGCCAAGAGGAAGATACCCTTAGGAAAATGAAAAGGGAGAGATCTTCTGCCACGTTAGAGCGGGATCATGAGTCATTGCAACACATTCACAAACGATTGAAAAAGGAGTATGAGGAGCTTGAAGAGAAGCATAACACAGTTAAAGGAAAATACAGGTGAGGGATGGCCTAGTTTTAAATAATTCTCATGGAGGAATTAGTAAATTACATTTGGAAGACTTGTACATTATATCATATTTCTTAAAAATGTTGAATAGCATAAATCATCTAGATATTAAAGACACTGAATGTGCTAATTAGCATATATACAGGTGGTTATTTAACTCCACATACCTATTGGCATGTGTAAAAACATCTGATTATACTTTATTTTTTTTAGGACGTTACAACGTGATCACACAGTCCTTCAGGGTGAACTCCATGACGCTAAAGACAGGTGTCAACAAATGGATATTGAAACCACAAAGATAGCCCACCGATGTGAGGTAAGCATCTACAAGCACTGTAATAATGATATGCAAATTATTCATAGATATTCAAATTAGTCAAGTATATGCAACTTAGTAGTTTAATGAAAAAATTACTTTATAATTAATCTATTAATAACTGATGGTTATTTTTACAAACTTTTTTTAACAAAATTTAATCATCTATGTAATTTTTTATTTTTAGATGTTAAATCATTTAAATGGTAATTTAGAGGAAGAGAACAAAAAGCTGATGGAACAGTTAAGTCAACTTATGGCACAGAATCAGGAATTGCTAGTGTCAACACTTGAAAGCAAGGAACTGCATCATGAAGAGCAGAAACAACTGGTGTAAGTTTGAATTTGTAACTTACATTTCTACAACAAATATCTGTATTTGGGCATGATAATGTTATCACACCCATATGTGGGCATAGTGATTTCATATCACACCCATATATGGACAAATCAGGTAATTGTTTCATAAAAATATATGATATGGGCAAAACATGTACAGCATAGATAATAAGGATTAAAGTTTGATTTGAACATGTGATTTTCAAAGTACTATGATATATATTCATATGTATAATTTCTTTTTTAAATACCATTTACAGGGAAAAATTGAATAATTTACGTCGGCAGAAAGAAAAGCTTGAAGAAAAAATTATGGACCAATATAAAACGTCGCCCCCTAAGAGGTAAGAATGTATGACCATTAAAATGACCTTTAAATAAAAAAATAAAAATAAAGTTAAGAATAATAGAAGTGTTATTTATGCTTTTTTACATCAGTGTAACACACTCAATCATTCTAATATTCAGCTTATACTTCATTGGACATATTCACTACAGGCACCTACTCATCTACTCTGTCCAGTGGCAGATTTAGAGGTGAGGGAAGCCAGAACGGGCCCCACTAAATTGTTAAAAATTATTTTTTTAATGATTATTCAAAGTTATGTTTTAAAAATGGAGAAATAAAGAAAATGATATTCAAATTGAAGTCTAAGAATGTCATTTTTGTGCCGTAATTATTTTCTCACCTCAGCCCCAACCATGGTGGGGCTGAGGGTCTGTGAAAGTCCTTTCCTGGGTCCCCCTCCCCTCTATTTCAAAATCCTCGATCTGCCGCTGCTATCCCACATGCATCCCATGTTGCACCTCACTCTCATTCTTTAAACACCAAAGGAGACTCATGCATGCTATATAAATTTTAAGTCCAACGTTACAGTTGTTGCTGTTCTTATTGTTATTTTTATACAAATATGTATAAATTTTATTTATCTTTTCATGAAAAGGCTCAAACAGACTACTAAAACATCAAAATCCAAACAGAAAAAAATCTTAAAATTTCATTAAAATTGGTTACAAATTTAAATCCTAAAAATCGAACATGTAAAATATTACCACTGTGTTCTTAATGGAATTGTCAGTCTGATATTGCATATTATGCCAAGGCCACGTTACACATTATCACTCATCATTGAAGCAAACATGTTTAGCTCCATGGGGAGTATTCCATGCGATTGCAATTAGTAACCAGCTCTGTGGCATTAGGAATCAGCTTTCATACCTACAATAAATTTGGGTAGAGAGACAATGGTCATGATGTGATGTCATCATGACCATATTTAGTCATGATGTGCCTATATATGGTCATGATGTGATGTCATCATGACCATATTTATGTATGTCACATATTTTTGTCAAATAAAATTTAATAGTGTGAAAAGGGCTTAAGTTTGAAAGCCTAATGCACCATCAATCACACATCCCCATCACCTGTATATCCCTCCCCATATGCTTTCATATACCCAACACAGACACACACACACACACATATTCAGTTAAACATAAACAGTATTTACATGAAAGTATGGCAACAACAATATGATCAGTGCCCTGTAAAATCATATAGGCCTACAAACTGTAAAACAATTCATATAAAGAAATAGTGAGACCAATTTATCAATTGTGATTTTTAAAAATAATATTAAAAGTGCTTTCTTTACCGACATGAATCTAGCGGTACTCTTAGCTTAGAGAGTGAGCTTAGCTATCAGAACACACTCTGTTCATGGTGAGTTGACTCTAGGCAATGTCTAATACCTGGCATCCCATCTCCTTCATGTTTATTATTTGCTAAGACTATTTTTTTCTTTATTTAATCTCTAATAATAATTGCATCCCCATGTTTCCTTGAGACTGCATTGTGTATGCAGATATTTCCCATGAGCCTCTTCTTCCTGTTGTCATAGCAACAGTAATGCATGAGTTGTCAACTCTTCTGTATCTCAATATTCTAGCATTTGGATGATGTACTTTTGTTTGGTTCCTTATGAATATTCTAACATTTATAGTATAGTATAATGTCTAAAATTTGATTAAATGTTGATCATAAAGTGTAATTATTTGCATTTTTGTTGTTAAGTTAAGTGAGCATTGTCTAATTTCCCATTGTTTATCAATGCAGTTTGAGTTGGATGTATAGGTGGTTAAGATGCTCAACTTCCAATCCCAGAGTCCTGGGTTCAAATCCTTTGACGCCAGGATTTGTTCTCATTACAAAAACACAACTCAACTCGCTAACCCTCTTAAGGAGACTTAATTTAGAGTGTTATTTCAATACTTTAAGTAGTGAGATACTGTTGGGTGAAAATTAATTAAAAAAAAAAAAAGAAGTGTAGACAATCGATCTACTTGTTCATGTAGAGGTGTCCGTGCGAGCATGCTCCTACTGTCAAGCTCTGAATATCTAGTAGCTACATCTTGCATCATAGCAAATTACAGGGTAGCACATTCAGAATGTTTGCATCAACGGCCAGAGAAGTATGAATAACTCATATTATAGCATGAACATGTGGTACTGCTACTGGCAGGGATGAAGTTCTTAGCTATGATTGGTCTTTGTTCTCATGTGTGTTATAATGTGGTCCCATGTGTGGTTTTATTGGTAATTTTAAATGATGTCTTTAATAGGCTAGCCACACTGTCTTCACTTCCAATGAAAATACTGATTTCCTATGAAAAAATGACTGTATGTGGACTAAGAAGGGTATTATTATGATTTAACTAAAATGGTGAAAGTTATTAAGGAAAAATATACATAAACAATCTTAGCTTAGATTTAAAAATATTGACTTTTCATGATATTAAGCTTTAGTTTTACTTATTTAGGTAAACTTTTTTTATATTTTCCTAGTATATTAAGTATTCATGCTTCAAATCAAAATAAATGGTGTATATTCTGTTCTCTCTAACACTATTGAGTAATAAATTGTATGGACTTTAAAAATATTGGTTTGTTTAAAACAAAGGACCAGTAACACTATGAATGCTACCTTCTTTGTACATGTTTTAATTCTGTGGATCTTATGTATATGCATGAGAATTATATATGAAGTGGACTGAAATAATTCAGTGTTAACAGATAGATTTTGCATGTTTTTAACAGCATGAAGGAATGTTTTTGACTGGTATATGTCAATTAAGTATGTTCTGGTTGGGTAGTGGATAAAGCAAGTTTTGAATGGGTGATCAGTGAAACAATTGTTAAATTGGGCAATTTGTGATGGAGTACATTTTCTGATTGTCGATGATGACTAAGAGATTGGTTGATGATTAGTGAAATAGAGTAAACTTTACGTTAGGTCTCTATGGCGACAAGGCGGCCAATAAGGTGATGATGAAGATGATTATTAATTAGATGTTGACGAAGTAGTAATTATGTACATTAGGTATAAGTTCCATCCTTTTAATGAGGATTTAAATAATAATAAGGTACTTGTGACAAGTCTAGGTATGGTTTGTGTTAATTATTATAATATTAGAAAATGACTTTTAAATGTTTTAATTCTTCTATAGGAATAAGGGAGGAGGAATTAGTGGTTTATTAAAACGAATTCATAAGGTAAGTTGATCATTTCTTAAAGCTAACATTAATAAATTATCAACAGTGTGTGAGTTACACTAATTAATCGTTTGTTTCCAGGATGCAAAATGGGATCTAATTTAATAGTGGCATTAAAGGTATATGATGAAAATATACTGTTGATCTGGTTAGATTTTTGTAAGTCAGAACTCCTTTTTCCGTAAAATTTTAAAATAAAACAAATTTAGTTTTTAAATGTTATTGATGAATTATGTGCTTCACTGCTGCACAAATCAAAATTCAGTGGCAAATTTTAAAGTGGGAATATTATGTTTCACTGTCAAAATGGCCAATTTTATTATTCAAATGAGATTACAAATAGTGGATATGTCCCTTATTTTCTTCAATTGAAAATATGAACACACAAATTGTAACAAAAAAATTTACCATACACAGAAGCATATTTAAATTGAATAATAAGCTTACCCTAAATCTCTTTAATGTACTAATATTATGTTTTGGTTTTTAACTATTATGAGAAGAAACAATACTTTGCACAACGTTTATTTTAGGTATCCTCGTAAGAAAAGTTGAAAAGGGGAACCTCAAGGGAAAAAAATGAGAGAACAGTCGAACAATCCAGCAACTGAGGGATTGATATATGGAATCAAAAGTCAACAAGTTTTTTTAAAAATTGAGGGCTGTTTCCAGGGCTGGAAAATGTACATGACCGCACGACCGGCAGTCGGAAGCAACATTCCTGGAGGCATTTTGGGGGGGAAAAAAATATTTGGTGCTGGAGGCATTTTATCGTCAGAAGCACAAGCAGTTTTTCCCAGGACTGGCTGTTTCCTTTGGACAAGAGGGCCTAATTATCAATATTATGTTCAATATAAAATAAAAAGTTCAATATCTGTTTACATTGCAGCCTCGCAATAAAGAGAAATCTAAGAAGGAACGTAAGTACTCCCTCGGCAATGACAGCCTAGACTGTGCCATGGACAGTCCCGGAGAAACATCCTCAATTGGCTCAGGTGGTGGGGAGTCAATAGATGGAATCGCAGTAGAAGCGGTCAGACAACCAGGTGAGGGCGCTTTGCATGTGGAATCACTAACAATCAGGATTTTTATACCCCAAATTTACAGTTTTATTTTTGTAAAATTCATAATGAATTTCAGATTCTATTTTTTGGTTAGATTTTTTATATTTGGAGTTTATCATAAGATGTTACATTATATGTCTCAAATTTACCAAATCAATCAACCCTATAATAGAATTTTAAATTTATTGTCAAAATATACAAGAAAAAATGTAGGTATTATTAAAATGTTTTTTTTATTTTACATGGTTTGTGGTTAAGAATCCTGAATTATTTTGCGAAAAACCAGTAATTACAGGCTTGGGTGTCCCAAAAATGAAAGCTTTAAAAGAAAAATAAAGATATAAAAATATATTCAAGAAGGTACAGTCATCACGAGATGTGGTACAATGAAAGGAATGTTTCAACAATGATAGACTGTTGCATAAATAGTATTTGTACTAATTTAACTACCAATAATTCTGTGATATTATACACACATCATATGGTAGCGAATGGAGCATCTACATTTTACTAATTAACAGTTTGATTATGGTTGTAGTAATTGGCTACTATATAATGCTTATATGCTTTGATATAGGCATATGCAAACTAAACTACAAAAAGACTCACTGGACTGAATAAACCAATAAAGACCATTTGCACACAAACATTGCACTTTCACATAGTTTAAAACAGGTTCATTACATGCACATTCAGAGTGATCATGGAAATAGAGGGGCCTCAAATTGCAGGGCAACTCTATATTTTTTTTAGAAAGTTCTTGCTGTTAAGTTTAATGTTAAATGATAATGTTGCAATGTAAATCAATTTAATATATTGTTTTTTGTTCTTGATATTTAATGTATTTCTTATTTCGCTTTATAGTAGTCCCACACGTTCACATAGTAATCCAGGTGAGGCCATAGTCATCCTTCTATACTTAAAATTGTAAACATCCTTAATTTTATGATTGGCTGCAACTCCAAATCACTTTAAATAGTCGTAGTAGCTGACTGAGCTAAATTGGAAAGCTTGGGTGTGAACGTGTGGGATTTTTCTTCTATTTGTAAACATTTTTTGTGAAGAATGATAAGCATGTCTACCCTATTGTAAGTGTACATTGTTGGCTTATTGAGTGGTGTAATTTTTAAAATACTTTCGCACCTTTACTCTGCATGTCTGAAATCAATGTTGACCTTCGACACTTCGCTTCACACGCTTTAGCTGATACCGATATCGTGATGAGTGATGACGACCTGGGCAATCAGTCCTACATACGTCGTAAACATAACCGTTCGAAGGCATCAGCCCAGCACCGCAAGTCCATGCCGGCCTACGTTCACGAAGCCCAACGTGAACCGGTCCTACAGAGAAAAGAAGGTAGAAACATCACCTCTAACCAGTGTCTTCACTCAACTACATCGGCTAACTCTGTCACAGATCATTTTTATTTATGTTGTATTTTTAGCAGCTTTGCTTACTTTCTTTGTATAACAATATTTGTTTGCAGTTCTGATCAGTACAATTTTTGCTGCAGCATGCTAATGTAAAATGCTTCTTCTTTTTTCAAGTAATAAATTTACTTCTAAACAAAAACTACAAATTACAAAATGATAAAACAGGGTTTTTGCAAACATTGCAGATAAATTTAAAGTGTATTGAGGCAATTTATTACAATATGCACTACATGAAGAGCACTTTATTATTATATTATCCTCGAGCAGGTATAGGTGAATACCTGTCTCTTATACACATCTAGATGTGTATAAGAGACAGTATATATAGTGTTAATATTGTTATATTTATTCTTATGTTGTAGTGTGCTTCTTTATTTGTATATATGTGTGTGTGTATATATATATATACATATATATATATATATATATATATAGTTAATATTATATTTATTCTTATGTTGTAGTGTGCTTATTTATTTGTATAAAGTTTGCATTTATTTCCTTTGTTTCTATTTTACAATCTGATTACATTTTAACAATAATATAAGTTCATATAATATCATATTTACCCCTTTATAACATCCTTTTAACTTCTATTTTAATATATATATTTGTTGTTTGTTTTATCTTCCATTGCTCTTTTTACTCATATACCATTATCTAATTTTTTTTTTCCAATTTATATATTTTTCAACCTTTTTCTTGATTTAATATATACTGTATATATTTGTTGTTACTTTCTATTTGTATTTGTGCATTGTTTATGCCTCCTTAACATAATTTAAAATCCTCTGTTGAAGAATATAATTTAAAATTTGTTTATGTTTGTGCTCAAAATATGCTTTTTCTTTACAATGTTTTCTTTATGTTTGTGCATATTTTTCAGCTGTCCATAGTAGTCTATCATCCGAAGACCTTCGAATGTCAAAAGATGACTTGGACTCTCTGTCAAGTACCTCGTCCACTAAGCGAGGTAGGGTGATGGGACTTTGTTTCTTTCTTAACTGTTTATTTCTTAATGTTTGTTTTACACCATTTTTTAAATATTATTTTTATTTTTAATAAAACCTACAAATACTTTTTTCTAGCTGCAAACTTATAGAATAAGATGCAAAAATAAATAATAATAATTTGCAGAAAAAAAACTTGCAAAATATAAATTTTAATCACTGTTTTGATTCATTTAAAGCATGTCGCATTTCTGCAATCAGTATGTAATTTGGCAAATTAATTTTCTGTTAAATAAACACAGAATTATTATTTTTTTTTTTTTTAAGTTATCCTGAGGATATTTTTGAATAGATTGTTAACGTTTTATATGTTACTATCAATACCAATAATGTCATCTTTAAATATGTCATAATTATTTTTTTACTTATACATAAATATATCTTATTGATAAAATGTTATACATACCACACTTTTTAAATAATTTCTGCACAGTTAATTCATTAATTATTGTTTTTCATCTTTGCTAGATTTTTAATTTATAAATGAATCTATCATTGTTATCATGTTTTTAAAATCTAAATTTACGCACTTTTATTCCTTTAATAATTTCATCTCTCATTTTTTTTTTATATTTGAAATTATTTTCACACAAAAAGAGAGAAATACATATCGACCCCATTTTAAAGATTTGAACCAAAGATTTCTGATACAGATCATGTATTTCTCTATTAACTGATCTATATGGCTCAAATTGCACATGTGTCAAATATTTATTACTTTTAATTTATTTTTGATTTAAAATTAACTATTGTAGCAGACATCCTTTGATTTGAATGTTTAACCTGTTCATGTTATTTGATATTTTAACCAAATGTTTTTCCTTTTGCTGTGATTTTTCTGTTTGTTTATTTTTCAATCAACTTACAATTAGCACCGCAAGCCAGACGCTCCAGTTTTGAGCAAGCCCTAGAGGCTTACCCCTCCCTGAATCTCTCCGATGCTTTTCCCCAAGATTCAGATTTCGCTGACTATGAATTTGGTAAATGCAACCTCATTCAAACAGCTTGAACTTGAATATATTCATTTTGATTTTTTTTTATGGTTGACTTGTTCCTTGGAGTGCTTTTCATTCCTGACCCTATTCTTTGACCTTCTTCTCAGCATGTATAGACAAGTGCCTTGAATTACTAACCCTATTGGATAATGATCCCGCTGTTCTCTCGGCAAACGATACCACAACCCCAACCGCTATCCCTCGAGCAGGTATAGGTGAATACAGTATTGGAAGCCAGTCTGCCACAGCCTGTGCACGCAATGTGTAAATATCACACCATAGCTCATTAACAGTTATTACATAATTCAAAATAATATTCTAGCATATTATATTTATTATATATAAATTATATTGCTACTATGAATATATGAAAACATAAATTCACAGTGTACCGATTTCAAGGCATACATGTCACTTCTGGTTACACAAAAATAATTTGATATAATCCAGTATTATCTGCTCATTGGCATGGTGACGGGCCAATCATCAACTCGCTAGGCTATCACATGACAGCATACCAGTTTCATGGCCTAGATGTCACCCCTGGTTTCACTAAAATAATATGATATAACCCATTATTATCTCATGGTGACGGACCGATCATCAACTCGCTAGGTAGCCACCTGATTTTAAAAATACAGGTGTAATTTATTGATTGAATGCTATTAATAATATATTCCAATAAAGAGTTAAATGGCTGAAAATACTTGAGTTTTCCAAGAATATTTTCAAAATGTAGAAAGAAAATATGGTAAAATTCTAGCTGCAGATATTCAAATAAATATTTTAAAGTAATAACAACATATTAAGTTAATCATGGTAAACTATGAAACATGACACATTTGTGTCTAATTGAGCATAATATTATTTGTGGCAGATAATACAATATCTCTCACATAATTGCACATGCGTCATACTATTATATACTACTAATTATACAGATATAATATAAATTTGCATAAATACACAAAATATTTGAATAATTAACCATACAAAATATTTGCATATTTACACATGTAGATGCATATTAATACATCTGAATAGTTGAGATTATGATACATATTTGCATAGATATGTGTATAACCTACAAACTCCAACCAATTTCATCAAGGTGGTGTGGTGTAGTATTGGTGACAGGGTCAATTTTTATTCTTTTCTGGTCTTTTCCATGGCCACCTCTATTTTGGCTGATTTCCCCCACACGGATAAGGTTCATCTAATTTTAATTCTTCTGTCGGTTAGTGACACGCATGTGGCATCTTGATTCTTCCAACTCTATTTTATTCTCCGTTAGGAAGGAAAAAGGGAAAAGACAAAAAGGGACTATCAAGCGTTCCTGCTAAAAGTACACCTAACTTGAGCACGCTTCATTCTGGTATGGTTCAGTTAGCTTTATTATTATTTTCTCATATTTACTATAATTATATATCTAATTTCAATATTAACTCATAATATCATATTTTCTAAAAAACATATTTTGGTTTATTATTAATATAGATGATTACTAACATAATAAGTTAGATTTTTGCAATCAAGCTAATTATACTAACGATCAAAGCGTTTCTACCATTCATTATGATTTTTTTCACTAGTCTGCAAAATTTTCTGGATAAGCTGACAAACGATTCCCTCAAGGAATACCCCCTTCCCTCCCCCCACCCCAAAATAAAAAAAAATTATAGTATCACTGTCTGTTAGGATATTCTCTTGGATGTAACCAAAGAGTATAAAACTGACTCAGGCTTTCGTTGGAACAGGGCGCCCCTATCTCATAGTAATACTTTTTTTAACGTTTCATTGTTTCATCCAAAATCAGGGCTATACCCTTTGATGTAACTTACGCTGTCTTAAGCTTTGTCTACACTATCAAATTTCATCAAGAAAGCGTCACGTAAAATGTGGTGGAAAATAAGAGTTGAACATGTTCAACTTATTTTGATAGTATGTGATATGACTTCATCGTACCCATATATGGGCACATCACATTTTTTTGTCACATAAAATTTGATAGTGTAGACAAAGCTTAACAGGAAGTGATCAAAATGGCTAGGTGTACATCCTATGGAGTGTCAGAATGGATGATTCTATTATTTTTCTAGGGGTTTACCATAAAGGTTAAGTTGGCAAGTGTTGGTTTCTTTAGGCACTGGACTACCAACATTGAGTTGCATAAGTTGCTCCTATAAGTTAAAAAAAAAAAAAAAAAACAAGGTTATTTTTGCAACATATTTGGCTATTCACTTAATTCAGCTTGAGCTACAAAATGTTTAATTTTGTAATGGATGGTCGCAGTATAGCATTTCCCTGTTGTTTCTTTGGAATACTTACTTTTGGAAATTTAATTTATTCTCTTATATTATGTAGTTAGCGTGATTAGTTTGATTGCACAAAGGTATTACTTATTGCATTAATTATAACAACCTGATCAAAGGTAGGTTATATTATTCAGTTATGTATATTCCTGTAAGAAACTTTACTTTAATGTTATAATGAGAATTAAAGTTGCTGATGAATTGAAAATGTAATCAGATTAAAAGATAAGCCAAATTGTAATTATTTAGTCTATAATAAATAATATGTATAATATTAATGCAAATAATATGGAACTCTCATATAACATTCTAACATTTAATGGTATGAATTTTACAGAATAAGTAACTTAATATTTGAATTAAATTATTAACTTTCAGTTGAAAATTAAAAGAAGAAAATGTCTCTCACCAATTGAGAGACACGTAAATATTAATGTTTCTTTTGTTTACTGTAATAATTATACATACTGTATTATAATACTAGAAGTTTATAAGAGCAGAACTGCTAAATAAAATATAGAATGTTGTAGTAAAAGTCTATAAATCATAAGAATGTAATTGTTTCCATCCTAGTTTCGTAGAGAGTTGAAAACTTACTTGATTCATTTATTTTTTTTAAGATTTTACAGTTTTATATTTGATAAGTAAAATCTGAAGTATTCCTATATCATGGTTTACTATCTATTGATTAACCTATTACATAACATGTAAAATTCATTCATAGAACGTGCCCAAAGTCTTGATGATAATTGTTCCCCGGGAAGTGATCGCCGAGGCACTAAGGGATTGATGTCACGTATACGCAGCCGTTCTCGCGAGATTCTCGATGATCTCCGTTACAATTCTGCATCAAATTTATCCAAAATGGACCAGTCAGAAAGCCAAGTGGTAGGTAAAAGCTTGCAGTTGCATACGGGTGATGCAGATCTCACGTTTTGAAGTTTTATAGTAATTACAACTGCCAATAGAGGGCACTCTTCAATTTGATAGAGGGTGTCCTTCAGTTAATTTAATTGCCTTGGAATTTCAATTTTCTGATTAACCATAATATGTGAACAACTGCCAATAGAGGGTGCTCTTCAATCTGATAGAGGGTGTTCTTCAGTTAATTTAATTGCCTTGCATGATATCTGTGTCAGATCATTGAACTTTAGTTAACCATAAACAACTGCCAATAGAGGGCATTCTTTAACCCAACAGAGGGTGTCCTATACTTGTACTGTACTTAATTACAACTTGAGTAATGATTTGAAAATAATAGATTTTCTTTAGCATTGTTCTACTTTGTATGTACTATATATTTTCTTGCAATGTTTGTATTGTGGTGTTGTTGCAAGTAAATTTCAAAATGTAGAAATAGTTTGAAAGTGTTTGTTCCTCTTGCTTATTTTGTCACATTCCACCTTCAAAACTTTTAAGTGTTTTTGCATGGTTTTTTTTTTTATTTTACTGAGCACTCTTCATTTTGCTGTGGTTGTTAAGTATTTCTACCATTGTATAGAGATGTTTTAACTGATGTACATGGTTAGTCCGAGGATGGGGCAAAAAACTCAATTTGGTGGGAGTCGGAATTTCACAGCGAAATGACCATTTTAAGAGGCTTTGATAAAAGTATGATAAAAGATAAGAGGGCTTAAATAAATGACACCAGAAAGATGTGAATATACTTTTTTTTTTTCACTGCTCCTCATAATTTACTCAGTTGGACTTGATGATGTCAGATTATTCATTTTAATAAATCGGGTATTAAAAATGTGTGTATATATATACTACTACAGTATACTCACTTCGTACACAGTTAAAACACTTTCTACCTTACATTTATCTGTATTGGTTGTAATTAATGGAAGACCAGTGTAAAATAAACTTAAAGATTCTAAATGGTTATCATTTCATTCACATCTAATTAACATGATTAATTAACATGATTAAAATAATTGTATTTCCAGATTTACATTGTATGAATTAGTAAGCATAATTTCTGTTTTCTGATGCAGCACCTTATATAGTGTTACCGCACAGGCGATAATTTCTAACACAATTTTACGTATTTTATATTTGGTTTTAATTTGCTGTGAAGTTCATTTATAAATATAAACCTGAATAGGACACGTTTAAAAAGAGTACCGTACTCGTGCGAATAAGCGCCCCCTTTGACTAAGCGCCCCTCTCAAATAATTGTCTTAAGCGCCCCGTTTGAATAAACGCCCCTCCTAATTTGAATAAGCGACCCTCGGTGTTTATTCATTTTTTAAAACAATATCTTGTGATTGATTTTTTTTTTTTTTTTTTTAGCAAACGATAATTTAACTAATCTCGAGAATGTGGTTGGCATGATTTGAGCTGCAGAGTGGATTCACATTTTCTTTTTATGTCAATTTCAAAATGAAGATATTTTATCCTGGACAGATGAGAGCTCCCCGGACAGTATCTTTCCAACTTTCCTCTTCTTACATTTGTCTATTCTCTTTCTCGACAATTTGCACCTTTAGCGCGTTTTCATGTGAGTTTGCAGGAAGACTTGCAATGACCCTGCTAACACTAATTTTATCTGCTGTTGAACTTACAGAATTCTTGTCACGAGCCATGCTCTCTAGACGATTATCTTTTCTGCACCAGAACCATTCGTAATCTTCGGTTTTCGGATGTATATATAATTTTTTTCATTCAAATTTCGCCCATTGGATTTTTCAATTTCCCCTCAATTTTCATGTATTTCCATAAGCGCCCCCTCAATTTCCACTCTGTTTTCATAAGCGCCCCGTTTGAATATGCGCCCCCTCTGAATAAGCGCCCCTCAAAAAGGGCAAAAAATATTTTAAGGGCCCGGGCGCTTATTCGTGATAGTACGGTACACTGTTGATTCAAAGAGTACATTGCGATTTTGTTAACTACAGGATAAATCAACAGGTGGCAATGCTCTTGCTAGTTGAAAGAAACACCCTTCTAAAATATACAGTAGTTATTTTATTGTGTAGTGTATAACTGGACTGATGTACTGCATGTTCAGCATTTAGAAATTTAAGTTTATTTATTGATATAAGTTAATAAACACAAAATTAATACTTTAGTCTATAATAGCAAAACAAATCTTATTCTTTTTACTGTTGTTATTTTTTATTGTTATTGCTGTTAATGTTAATGCTGATATTATTCCTGTACATTCCTTGTATTTAAGATATAGTTAGAATTTTCATTGATTATAAATTGGGCATTGTTCCTACGATAATTAAGATTTGTCTATATAGAAATAAAACCAGTTTTCATTCCAGGTTTTTTTTTTATATTAATATTAAAGTATCTTAATCTTAAGAGAAAGCCTATGAAAATTGATATAGGTTAACAAAGAATATAATTCCATTTCAGTCCCTATGTTGTGGCTGTTGTGGATGAGTGGTAGGTGGTGCTAGTGAGAATGCCAAATTTGCATTAAGAACCAGTACCATATGTTAGCATTATGAGGGAACTGGTCTGAATGTTTATATAAGTTTGAGCCTGTGATATAAGAAACTTCACCTTCTGCTTCCATTATACACTGTTTGCTGTGTTTTTTTCTATGTTTTGTCTGTCTATCATGCTGCTTTTCATCTATCATTGCATCACCTCTGCACGTTATACTTGTTCACGTTTCACGTACATGCTTGTCTATTATGCGATGCTTGCTTTGCATGCTGGGTGAGTTTGCTATCGCACTTTCAGCACGTTCAGCACGTTCAGAATTTTGCTGTGCATTGGTTTTTTTTTTCTGATCCATTAATACCTAACAAGATGTCCGTGCCAATGTATGCCCGCTAGAAGGTAGTGATATTGCTAGGGGAACAAACAACCCATGCAGCCTCCATTTTATTTTGCAGTCTTTTCCTATTGAAGAACCAGTCATGACATCAACAATTGTGCAAGGAGAAGAGACATCGATTTCAACTGGTGCTACTTACTCATCTGGCAATAGATATTCTGAGCGTCTAGACCTTAACATAACACCACCAATCCCAGGTGCCTCAGATGACCGAATAAACTCCTCGACTAATAACTCCATCATATCTAATATGACATACGAGGATGATCTCAATGATGCTGACATAAATTGTAGCCAGTATTCAAACTCTAGGCCGAATCCAGGATATAATTCCCCGACTCACATCAACAGCCCTCAGGGACCATCATCTTCGACCCCGAGATCTAATAATCTTAATCCATCAGTATATGCTGCGATTCCTTATCACAAGTTAACACCTACTGACCGGACCACACCCCCAACCATCACTAAAAAAACGCCACCTGTTAGTCATAAAGTACTGCAACCTAAACCGCGGTATCCACAGAATCTAAACAGCCCAAGAACCAGTACCTCGTCACAGGAGAATTCCCCACGAGAATCTGTAAATATTCCAGTTGATACTGTAAACATACCCTCCCCACGGACTCCGCGAGACAAAATTAGGCATCCTCCAATTGGCCGTAATAAATCAAATGCCTTCTCTTTCGAACATTCCAACTCACTACCACGCAAAAACAGCCTCCCTAAACAGGTTTATGAGAAGCCAGCAAAGATCTATGGATCAGAATCAAACCTGGCAAGCAATTCCACAAAGGTCACCCCCGGGGATTGCAAGGGTAAGGGAAAAGTGCCGACAAAGAGTTTGGAGGATGCCAATAACTCAATAGATAATTCTAAAGATGCTAAGAAAGAGAACTCTATCTGGTATGAGTATGGATGTGTGTAGAGCTTATTTCTAAACTCGAATTGACAGTGATAAAAGACCTACTGTAGTTTTAATTTACTCTTCCATTGATAACATAAATAGAATGTTTGTAATAGAAGATGAAGGCCATTCAGAACAATTCAGCTTGCTTATATGTATATATTTGGTAGTTTTTGAGCATTATAATACATAGATTTATCAATGAAGTTAATTAATTGTAATTTTTTTTCTTTTTAATCTTTGTTTTAAAAGTTTTTGCGTAGTTGATGTGGAAATTAAATGCAGAATGTATATGTGATCGTTGGTGCTCTTGGGGTTTTTTCCCACCATTTTTATCACTTTGAAAAATTATCTAGTTTTTAAAATAATTAAATTGATGCCCAGTAATTAGTTACAAGAACAAGACTTGAGTCTTCCCCTAAAAAATAATGATTATAACTTGTGCAAGTTTATTAATTTTATAGATAAACTTGAATGAATTTTTTTCAAGAAATTCCTTGTATAATGCTAGTTGAACTCTGGAGTAAACGTGTGTGATAAACCACACTAAATTCTGTATTCATTTCCAATGGTCAGTGATATCACCTATTGAGGTTTTCCCCATTCTACAGGAACTAGTTGAAAAAACATTTTTAACTTTACAATTTTATTACTATCGAACATAAATTAAGCGCTATTTTTGTCGTATTTGACCAGAATCTTTAGTGTGTCATACATGATATCAATTCTTATTGATATAACTTGCTTAATCAATTGTTTTTCGAAACAGTGGATGGTAAAAAGCAAAATATTTTCGGTCCATGCAATTTCATTTGAGTGTAGTCACCATTCTCTGTTGCACTTTCACTGGTTATGGCATTGCTTTCATGTACAAACCACGCTGCTTCGGTTACTGTCTTTACTCAATCCACACTGCTTCGGTACTCAATTCACGGGAAGGTGAAGTGTAACTAGCATGAAACAAAAATAAAAAACAAATGCAAAAATTATATATTTCTGCTTTCTGTAAGCACCACTGCATATCCAGGTATGATATTTCTGCAATTCAAAAATCGGTTTTCGCTATTTCTGGCAGCATTGTTGTGTTGCCAGAAATGGTATACAGTACTAAAACATCATTATGCATTGTGCAACATGAGTTAAAGATAATCACAGTGGTTCTGCCCTTTGACCTCCAGGATCACTAACTTTCCTCATGATATGGGTCTGTTTAGTTTTTCTTGAATATCATGCCTGAAATTGCACTCAACTTTCTGATATATAATCCCATAATAAAGTATTTGTAGTTTATAATAATATCATCCAAAGAATCCGTGAACTATACCCCAAAGATATACAAGACAATAATTGTCTCTAGGTATTGTGATCATCATATTTTATTAAGAGAGTTCAGCTTTATACCCAATTTACACAAGACAAATGTTACACATAATGTGTTGCAAGAAAAATTATATACCTGCTACTGTTAAAAGGTGCATCCGTGTGAGATTCACTCTGGCCTTGTGTGTATCTTCATGATCCGTGTATGAATTGTTGACTTTTGACAGTGAGGAATACAGTCTGTAACATTCTGTCTTGTAAATTAGATATATAGTACACTCTGCAATTCGAGACCCCACTAATTCCGAGACCATTTTTTCAAAGAACCGTAACAATCTTCAATCTTTTAACACAAATGTAATGCTAAATAAGTGGAGACCAAACCACATTTTCAGGTCCCAATTTTGGGGTTGAATTGGAGGGTGAACTATAATTACCTGTTAGAATCCAATTATGATTATAAATATGCGGTCAGGGGTGGTGCCAGGAATTGCCTGATGAGGGCTCCAAGCTTCCCTACAAGGGGAATTTCATTATGCAAACAGATCAAATAATAATAAATATAAATTGTACTGCTAGTAAAGATACATGTTCCTTTGGTAAATAATTGGTTTAAATAACTAGAAGATATATTTTAACATTAATAGATGAATAACCTAGAGGATGTGAATTGGCTTATATCACTCTCACAGTTTGAATGTGTCTAGATATTCTCTAAATCGTTCACCATAAAAAAAACAATTTTAGGGATAGTAGTGCTTGAAAGATACAGATATGCTCTCATGTGGCCTCTTTAGGGTTTTCGTTCTAAACACTTAAAAAAAAATAATCAAATTAATTAACAAAATGTACAAAAATATTGCAATGTGGATGGCGGGTTTTGAGATCTTTGTTAAATATGATTTTTTTTTTGTAAATTACCGGTAATCTTTTGGTAGATAACAGTACTTTTTCATTGGTACTCTTTTATTTATTTATTTTTCTCCTTTTTTTCATTAACCTACGAAGTTTTTTAGTACAATGGTACACATGTTTTTTCTGTGTAATGTAGAAACAGATACAAGGTATTTAAACAAACTATTGTGTATCTTTCTCCAAATACTGTATCTTGTATGGTACACACTTTTTCAGTATATAATTACCATAGATGGTAAACATTACAATGATTTTGATTGGTTAATGGCGTGCTGACTTGTGCTGATGAAAATTATGTTTAAATATCAACAATATTAAAGGATTGTGAATATAAATTTATTGTATGATTATTTACATAGAATGAAATTGTGACAAAATAATTTGAATATTGCTAGAAGAATTATAGTTCTGTAATTCTATTATATGAATAATTTGTGAAAGGAATTTATGAACAACACAGCTTCCTTCACGTAAAACTTTCTATCATGCTATTTCGTATTAGTTTGAACGAATGTTGAAATGTTGTTGAATGTGTAAATAATAAAGTAGATGTCATTCACAAAATGAATTCTTGTAAGAACTTACAAATTTGTTGGAATCAAAAGAGCATGTTCTGTATTTTAATATCTGTATGAATGTGTATTAAAAGTGCATTTAAATAATTTCACACTGTTAAAGAAATGCCATCTGTGTTGAACTAAAAAAAAATTCAATTTTTGAATTGCTCATGTCATTGTCCATGGTCTTTAGCAGCTTTGGTCTTTGGGGCCACAGGAAAATGATCTTTAATTGGAGGTGGGCTTTAATTTGAGGGGTCCTTCATTAGCGGGAGACCTGTACAGTATTAGCTATCAATTAATAACTATAATAAGAAATTGTTTTCCACACCATTAACCGCATAATACTACCAGCAAAACATTAGAATGCGAGCTAGTTAGTCATTTTGGTGTGAAATGCTCTAAGTTCAAAGACTTGTTACCTTAGCCCTGTGAAGTTCACATGTTTCACATTTTTAAACGAGCGATTCAATGTTCAATTGATTTTTGAGGTTTTTCAAGAATTTACGACGAACCGTATGTCTTTAACAGTGTGGACTTCATTTAATTGTAATGTATGTATTATTTCTTCTTTCAAATTACCGATTTACATTTATAAATATTGTGTTTTGGGTGTGATAAAAGCTTAGCACGATATACAGTAGTAGTGTTGGCTGGTGTTCAGCTAACCAGTGCCTAGTGTGCTCTGTTCTTTCTTGCTTCTGTTTTTAATGATTTATCTGTTGAAAATATAGTTTGTTTTTGTTTTTTTTTTGTTCATACATGTTTTCAGTGTTGTTACTTTGTACAGTTTAAGAGCAATGATTTGGTTGGAATATCCTAATGTATATTTACTTAAAAATGATTTTAATTAGCTGTATATTTTGTTCTTTCTTTTATAAATTAAAACAAATTGATTCTTTCTGGTACTCTGCTCTGCACATTTTGTTTTTAAAGATGAAATAAATAATTGTAAATGATGTGAGAAAAAAAATAAGTGGTTTGCTTGTAATTTGCATATTTTCAGTTGTTCAATTCACCATTCAATAACCAGCTAGATTCACCACATGGTATTGGGTCCTGCTAGTGGTGGTGCTAGCAGGGTTTAAGGATTCCCCCATCAGACAGGATGAGGTGGTCGGACCAAAAATAATTTTTCTATCCAATGTGCTCTAAAACCACAATGTAACTCTTCCTTTGAACCCTAGCCAGGCCAGGCTAGGTTAGGCTGAGGGTTGGAATGGGGTGAAATGTTGGCCCCCCAGGGATGTTTATTCTGGGACCCTGACTGCCCCAGTCTCAATGTTCCAAGCTCTTTTAATGTGTTCATACCTCATGCATCCTTGACTTTATTCATCAATAAAATTGATTACAAGTTGCAAGATGTTTGAATTAGTCTAACCCCATTGGCATATTCATGAGATGAAATAAATTTATATAATTATGTAATTAAAAATATATTATAATGCTGCCTATTCAATGAAACATTTGTTATTCATTCAATGTATAAAAAGCCTATTAAATTTGTATAAACAACAAATTTTTAGAAATTACAGTATTATAAAGGAAAGGTGATACTGTATAGAACCCTGGTCCTTAATAGGCCGCCCACAAGGCAATTTAATTTGACCCTTGAGGAAAAACAAAACCATAAAAAAAAAATATTTAAAACATAATGAAGGTGCGAATTATACATTTTCAATGTAAAGACAAAAATGCAACACCTGGGTATTAAATGTGCACAGGGTGGATTAAAAGTTAGCATGATGATGTAGGCTATAAATGGCGCCAAAAATCGATCACTAGGTACTTTCCATGCTTCGAACAAGCCAAAAGCATGTTATGAATTCAAGATTTCATTTATTGTCCAAATTGGAAATACTAGGCAGCAAAACAATTCATTGCAAGATTAAAATACAAAACAAATAAATTATATATAAAAATACTCAAAATATGATTATAACACTTAATTAAAAACAATATATAAAAAGCAAACATGTTAAAAGTAGTTAAAGAAACTGGAAGTTGTAATACTGTATTAATACAGTAGTATTCAGAGCAAAGCATCAGTTAACATAAATAACATTTATCTTTATGTATCAGAATAAATAAATATTCTGTGTGATAGTTGCAAGCGTGATTAAACTTGTGATATTACACAAATAACAATACGTGTTTCAAGAGAAACAGAATATTATGATTGTAATGGATATTGGGGAAACCTATTATTTTATTTTACGCATAGGGAGTTGTTCATGTTTCTTAAGGAATCTGGTACAAATGAATTAAGGAATCTGTTGTACATTTTAGGCATTTGGGTCTCTTCCCAGAGGGCAACCATACATAATTATTAAAAAGTGCATGGGCAGCATGTGTGTTGCCTTTTCTTATATGAAATATATTTTCTTTAAGGATTCTACATGCTTGGTTAATCCATACATATCTAAAATTGAACTATAAAAAAACTCCCCAAGATTGGTGGTATTCTTATTAGCCCTGCTAAATTTAACATAGCAGCCAACAGGAACTAAAAACTTTATCATAGACATGATAAAATGTTAAAGGTTGCAGAATCCAGATGCCTGATTTATGGACGCATGGTAGAAGCCCATTGTTAAATCATAGAGGTAAACACAACTAAATTTATGTTATTTTGCAATGCGTCAGCATGACTAAACTTGTGTTAAAAATTGTGTCTATTGGGATTTTACATAATAAATGTGTAGTGAAGCATGCTTTACAGGGGTAATGAAAAGTTGGTGTTCAGTATAATATAATGCTGCCTATTCAATGAAACACTTAATATAAAGGTCTATTAAATTTGCATAAACACAATTCTGTAGAAATAATAATTCTATAAAATTTATACAGTACTTTTTTTAAATGTTATACATTTTTATAAAGGAGAGTTAGAAGTACTGTATTATTGTTATTACTTTATGAGATTTGTTGTGAAAATATACCTGTGACTTATCCAAAAAACTATATTTTGTATCTTATAAAATTTATAATAATTCAGTAATATTTTGAGTTTATAGAACTTATATACAATCAAAAATAATTAATATTTAGCTATACATTTTATAGTAAATCCTTGTTTTTCCTTTAATATTGTTAGTTAAAATAAACAATTAAATCCTTCTTTTTCCTTTTATATTTTTAGTTCAAATAACAGTAACGTTGTTGTATGGGGTGGGGGATGCACAGCCCCTCTCCGGGGCAACTATGCTGCATCCTTCCTATTTAACTGCTACAATCTCTTGCAGTGATTCTGTTAGTTGTGAAGATTGTGGGTAACCGATATTTCTCCTCTGGTAGCGTTCATGAATCGGGCATGACCTCAATATCACAAGTAGTGATGCCAGTAGCTGGCATCCACATCCACTCGCCAAATCAATGTTGAAGTCGGCTGTGCATTTGGTGTTCACATCATTCTCTGTTACCGCTGGAAAATACAAATATAAAAATCAAATTACTAATAAATTATTTTCAACATTTCTGATATGATTATTTACAATAAGAGTATGTTTTGTATAAGTGCTTAAAAGAAACATAATGCTTTATTATGCTCTATCATGGGTCATTTTAAAGTTTGAATAATGAGCTACAAGGAGACTATATTTAATCTATTATGGGGAAATTTCATGGCTGAATATAACAAAATGTGAATACAGTATAACAAAAGCTACACAAGATACAAACTCCTTATAAATTATTTTCTATTAAAATTAACTTCAATTTTCCATCATAATTTTGGTAAAAATATTCTTAATGCTGATTGAAAATGTAAACACCCTGGGCTAGCTCCATCTTGTGATTGGCTGTTGATGTACCTATTATGTGACTAAATAAATTGTACTATACCTGTAATCTTTACTCTTTCAGATGTCTGTTTAACCTGTTCCATGAAGTCTGAAATATCAACTTCAGTTTTGGGCATGTGCATTATTACATAATCAATCATCTCCGCATCCCGCTCCGCAGATTCCGTAGTGCCCTCACCAATCATTTTAGGTATCTGCTCAACCTTCACTTTCTCCATTACACCATCTTTAGAAAAATGAAAATATACATTGTTTTTTTAAAATTTATTTTATGAAAAGTGATGCCCACTTTATAGCAATTTTCCTTTATATGGGATCAATATACATAAAAAAAAAAACTAGCTCACTTTATCAAATTTGATTTTAAATATTGAAGGAAATTTCATCAATCGGTTGATACGAAATTGATTGGTTAGACTCTAATTACAGGATGTGATGTAATTGGAATGCATCCATGAAAATTACATTTTGGATAGGTGCAGTACACGCAACGGAAAGGAAATAAACAGCATGAATGATCAGTACCACTTATGAAAAAAAACCAAAAAATACATACTGCTTAGTTCAGAAGGTGTATGAAGGTTGTGTTGGCTAAAACTACAGCAAAGGGTCGCTCTATAAATAATTAAGACTGCGCCTCTTATCGGGGTTCAGAATCGGTGGTGACCCCCTGTTGGCAAATTTCTGGAGCAATCAGAATATTGCTATACTGTATGTCATGGTTAAGAATATACCTTGTATCTCAAGTCTTTTCTTTACATCATTTATCAAGTTGTCATTGGTTGCGGTATGAAGTAGAACCTTCACTTTCATCTTCAAAGCCAAGGTTACTTGAACTAACGTCAGCACTCCATTAATGTTCTTGTTGTCCAACTGGTCAGTTACTATGGCAACTGATGATGAATGTGATAACCATATCGCACACTTCAGTACTTCATCCATTCTTGTTATAGCAGAATCTATTACATATTATATAAATATTATATTATTATTATATTAATATACTATATATATAATATAATATACTAACATTGCTTTATATTAATATATTATATATATAATATAATATACTGTATTACATATAAAACATTGCTTTATAATTGTTATTCATTAGTAATTTAGCGGATATGCTTACAGCATAATGAAATGTTGCAGTAGCATCTGAATTTTTAAAGTTTACTTTCCATGGGTTTAGTACGAATATAATATGCACTCTATAAGTCGACAATCATCATAATTATTTATTATTATGTTAGTGATATTGTTAATATTATTTATATTATTATACAATAATATGATGAAACAATGGAGTGTACAGGAAAAATGCCAACTAGATTTCCTAGGCAATGGGGGCAATGGCTGTTGATTACTGTAAGATGTATAATATAAAAAAAGAATCTGTAAAAATAGCATTAAATAGAAGATGGATGCTGCTATATCAGAATAACGGGATTTGAAGGATTGGGGTGAGGTTTACAACAGGGGTGGATAAAGGTGTAGAACAGAGATGGGTGCACCACTCACCTTTTAGGAATCTGTTTATTTCTTGAAGTTTGGCGTGTGAGATGATGCTGGCAAAAAACGGGACTTCCTGGACTTTAATCACTGCTACACTGGCATTGTCACCGAGGTCATCTTTTTCTGTAGGTATGTCGGTTATTAGCATGCAGCTCTGTGCCTGTGTAAACCCAAGATTAGCGCCTGTAGATAATAACAATTTGTTATAAATGACAGTAAAGTACCAACGGTGTCTACCAAATCAATTTATGAGTATGTGGAGATAATAACAGCCAACTACAAAAATAATGAACTATTCAATGTTTTAATTGAGCTTTTTATGTTTCTTTTTCTTCGAGATTTTAATGAGAGATGGTTTATTTTTAAAGCCTGGTTTACATAAGATCACCAAATGCTATCACCGATGCCAATTGGTCAGTCAAATCAAGGGGGCTTAATTGGGAGAGATACGCAATGTATGAATGCAGAGAAAACTAGCAATAGTGTAGCACTGTTATGAAAACCAGACTTAACTGTTGTGTTAATCATGCATCTAAATGCTTCTATAACTTTACCACAATTCTTAATCGCTGGTATGCCGGTTGCACCACAGGACCAGAACACCGGTACATCACCCTCTTCCAAGTCCAATACATCTCCCATGTCATGATTGTTCAGGTCAATGCCGATCATCCCTGTTTGACAAGATAACCATAATCAGTAACTTTATAATAAAGATACGATAACATTTTGACTACATGTCAAAATAATTAAATGGTTAATTGCATTTGTTTTGTCTAATAATAATCTTCACTCGGTGCTGCCCCATTGTTTAACGGTTCTTACCTGGGTCTCCGATATGCATCGGTGCTCCGTGGTACTTCACCATTGGTAACGTAACATTGGTCACAAGCTCTAGCTGGTGCTTAGGTATTGGCCGCATACTTACAAACTGTCGGCAAGTTTTGAACATTCCATATGGCATACACTTAACGTTTGTCTATGAAGAGATTTTTTAATTGGGAAAGTTTATGGTAACGGAGAAGGTAAAAAGCATGCATATGGCATCACGCTATCAAAGCAATCACAACAAATAGAAGCAAATATAAAAAGAAGGTCGGTGGTGTATCTAGGGGTTGCGCCCCTCCAAAAAATACTTGCGCTATCCCCTCACACAAATCATGCTCAAATAGTTAAAAACTACCTAAAATATAGGGGTGCACCCCTCCAAAAAATACTCTTGGCCACCCAAATCCTTCCACAAATCATACTCAAATAGTTAAAAGTTACCTAAAATATAGGGGTGTACCCCTCCAAAAAATACTCTTGGCCACCCGAATCCTTCCACAAATCATGCTCAAATAGTTAAAAATTACCTAAAATATAGGGGTTCGCCCCTCCAAAAAATACTCTTGGCCACCCGAATCCTTCCACAAATCATGCTCAAATAGTTAAAAGTTACCTAAAATATAGGGGTTCGCCCCTCCAAAAAATACTCTTGGCCACCCGAATCCTTCCACAAATCATGCTCAAATAGTTAAAAATTACCTAAAATATAGGGCTGCACCCCTCCAAAAAATACTCTTGGCCACCCCAATCCTTCCACAAATCACAGTCAAATAGTTAAAAATCACCTAAAATACCCTTATTCTTTAAAGACCACTTTTCTGTGTTCCCAAATTACAAAATTTCTTTTATCATTATTATTCTAATTAGAAACCAAAAAAGACCATGGAAACCCCGGTCCCAAAAGTGGTCCTTAATTTGAGGGAGACCTGTACTGTAAATTCTATTTTTGTTGATTAGTTCAGCATTGGATATCATCTCCTAAAATTACCAAAATACATTTTTAAACTTTTTCCACACTACCACCTTCCCCTAGCTTTCTCCTCTGTTTTTATCAATTAGCTATTTACGAGGTATAATGGAGTGTTGCGGTTTTGTTGAGCAGCTCGGAGTGGAAGCCCAGCATCTAGGTATTCTTTCTCAAATGAGAAACTACATCCCAGGTAGAATGACACATGCTCTTTCATTTGATCATTAAATTTCAGAAGATCTCCTACCACTTCTGACTTCTTACCATTCTCGAATACATCATAACCTCCAAGATCAGTCCTAAGTAGAGAAATTTTTAATGACTTTTTCATATTTTGAAATTCAATTCACTTCTTTTGTAAATCACATTTAACAAGACAATTAACAAAAAAACATTAAAAACAGCAAAGCCTAAATAAAATACTTCCCAATTTTTTTATTAATTTAAGTTAAGTTTTCCAATAAAAGTAAATACAAAACCTTATATCCAATACAAAAGTATAAATAAGTAATTTGAACAAATGTAAAGAGAATATGATTATAACAATATTGAGGATTATACTAGTATTATTTATTTGAGCTTTCTGTATTCAGGGAATTACAATTCAGTAACTAACACTGCTCTCCAAGGAAATCCTGGTACAGCAAATATAGCAAACAATTAATAAATGGACAGGAAATATGTTTACTAAATATCCACAATATTTCAAAAGTAACTTTAGAACAGAAACAATCTGGGAACCAGTAGCAGTCACATGGTATAACTCCTGGAATGTAAACTGCTGACCCAAACCGCCTTCCAAAGATAAGCTGCTTTAATTAAAATAATAATGATTTTAATTTTTTTTAATATTTAATATTTTTATATATAGTTTTTTAAAGTGGTTTGCAAATACTAATTTTAATATTTCTGTTAAATGTATATGTTTCTCTGGTTGGTACTGGAGAGCTCCCAGACAGGGGCATTGACCTCTTTTGAGCAATCATACCATGCCAGGTACTGCTCAGTTTTATTCTTTATGTGTTTGCAAATTTGAAATGTGAAATAAATTATATGATATGAGCTACTGAGTAGAAAATATGCTCACCAGAATTTGAATTAGAATGAGGAATATCTACAATATCAAATATTTGATCTCTAGTATGATTATGAGGATAAATAATATTTAAACTCTGTTGTTACTGTTTTACCTTTGATTTGATTTTTTTTTTTTTTTGTCTAGTCAAGGTCAAACTAAGACAAGCTATGTCTGTGTTTGATCCCAGTTAATCTATTAATAGATTGTTATAATTATTATTATCATTGTTATTATAATTTATTATTATTATTGTTATGCGGATAATAGCCAATTGATGGCTTTTGCAGCAAATAAATATTGAATTGAATTATTATTCTTAAGGCTATTATTGCTAATGTGAATCAAAAAAAAGCTTTATATTGTATAAAAATACTTTTTCACTTTTATAAAAAATATTGATATAAATTTACAACATTAAATGAAAGTTAGTATTCAAGTATTCTTTATTTACATCAAAATCAAAGTTAAAATTGCATTGATGTGTACAATATTTTTAAAAAATACAATAACAATAAAAATATCAAAAATAAATTTTTTACACATGGTGTACCAAATGGTTAATGAATTTGTTATTGATACTGGTCCTGGTAGTTGAATTACAGACATGCGGTAGCCAATGACATACTGTGTGTTGGCGTTAGATGACCGCATATCATGAAGAGAGACCTGTTTGTACAAACAATGACCAAACAAACATACAAATATGGGAAACTGAATGCTATTTACAAAATCGTTCAAATTAAAATTTATGGATGAAACTCTCTTTCATAAATAGCAATTAATTTTACAGCACAGACTTCTTGTACTTTGCGCTTTATAAATTTAAAACCAAAGCATTCAATCAACAATAGATGAATAGAGCTAGCCTGTACCGGACATCAAGGTCTTCTCCAAGTGGTGGCGCTGTAAACTGTCCTGGCTCGGATTGAAATAGCAATGGCATGGGACCGGAGTTGGCATGACAAAACCCTGCGAAGTCCTTAGCAAAAGAGTGTGGTACGATAACAATATTTACTTGTGAAAAACCTATGAAAACAAAATAAGATAAAATAAAATATTTCAATATTATATGGTCACAATATTGCTACAGTGGTCTAGATTACTTTAAATATTAATAATTGTACTATAGTGTAGTGATGGGACAAATTAATAGACTACTTCTTTTTTTCGCCTTTCCGGCTCAGTGGCGACGCTGCGTCGAGGCTAGGTGGGTCAGGGAGAAAAACCACAATTTGTCGGGGAGAAAAAAAATTATATATATTTTTTACACATTCTATAGACTCTAAAATCGATAAGCCTTTGCTTAAACTGCTAAACTGTCATTTTTGGGGGTTTCCCCCTGCATCACGACGGGGGTTCCCCGCGACGTCCGACCACGCCCACTTTGATCTCGTCGGGAAACACGCCCCCCCCCCAGGCAAATCGTTGCGCCACTCCTGTTCTGTCAATCTATTGCCTTGCCAGCACTCTCTTCCAATTCAGCTTCTCGCAATTGTTATTGTTCAAAGTATTTATCTTTATTGCTCAAAGAATTGATCGTTATTGCTCAAAGTATTGATCGTTATTGATTGGTTTGAGGTACACAATATGCATGATGATGTCAGTTGCAATGGCTTCAGACTGACAGGCCCTGAAGTCAAAAGCTTTTACCTTGACTGACTTCATATAATGTATAAATGCACTTTTTCGCACTCATTTAAGTAACTTACCTGAACACAGACCGGATGTTTCTGTCATGAAATGGTTCCCACTGCGAAATTCTTTCCGTGCTTGACAAGCATCAGTAGCCCGAAAAGTACCAAGTAATGTTTGCTTTGAAGACATTCTTATATAGGGCCTAAGACTTTAGTCACCCTGACACCAATTTCAATCTGCGTACAGTATCTTTTTCGTATTTTCCTAAATATTTTTTCTATTATTGTCACCAGAGGGCGACATAAATGGGGGAGTTGTGGTAGGGAGAGATGTGGTTGCTTGGATGCCACCAGTGATCTCTACCATAATAGTATCAGTATCAGATGCTCAGTCATATAAATCAATCGGCCATATAATTGGTGTAGGTCTACTGTATTGAGTTATGTTTTTAAATTACCAAAACCAGGGAGTTGTTATATAACAACTCCCTGCCAAAACCCATCTGCCCATTCACCAAATTGCTTCCAAATTTGGCTACTACATGCAACATGACTCACTTTGACGGTCACGACTGTGAATATAGTTCTCTTATAAGAACCATTCAGTGAATTATCTTCTTAATTGGATTTTATTTCAGAATTAAATTATTTAAATTGTATTGATTGGTAATTTATATATTGATAAATGATAATAGTAATATCAATTCAAAGATCTCAAAGTAAAAGAGCGCAGTCAACAAGCGCATAGAGGCTGTTTTGCATGATATGCGCTATATAAATCCAACTATTATTATTATTATTATTATTATTATTATTATTATTATTATTATTATTATTATTATTAGGCCATGTAAAATTTTTTTAAAATTGGTTAGCATCCTTATGTTATCAATTTTCATGGTAGTGAGGGAGGTTTTTTTTTTCGCTTCGAACATGAAAAAAGAGTGTCGCAAGGAAAAACAGCAAAACCAAGAAGAAAAAAATAACAGAGACCAAAATTGCATACAAGAAATTATGTAATTCATCTATAGAAAGCACAAACGCGCGGGAAATGGACTTTTTAGTATCCTGGTAATCAAACTTTATTATATTAAAATTTAAAAGTCCTACCATGATTTTGTGAAGCATGAAAATTGCAGATAAAAAAATACAATAAAAAAAAAAACGAAGAAAAAAGTACATGCACTTGTATTTACGACGTTGTCTTATAATTATCAATAGAAAATGATCCATATTATAAGTAACGTACACAGCACTTGATGATGGCGAAGTCGTTGTTGTACCAAACGAACCCGCTTGATGACGTGTTCAGTTGACCATAAACAGTAGGCAACACAGTTAATAACTGAATCACCGAATCAACAATAGTTTTTTAAATTAAAAGGTTATTGAAAGTAACGTTCCATGGGCGTTACCTTTGAAAAACCCCTCATGATTTCGCACCTTATTAATTATTAACTCGTATTTACCTTGATTTGATGGTTTTATTTTAACTGCTGTTACTAATATATAACAACATTAAAAAGTACAACTCAAATAAAATTAACAGGTCATTATGATTCAAATTAATTCCAATGTGGCACTACATAAAACAAATTATAAACATGAAAGTGTACAACGATAAATACGGTGAAAATTAGGCTAAATTGTCATAGAAGTAAAAAACGCGAAAGAAGAACATTAATAATAATAATAATAATAATGATAATAATAATGATAACGATAATGATAATGATAATGATAATAGTAATAATAATAATAATAATAATAATAATAATAATAATAATAATAATAATAATAATAATAATAATAATAATAATAATAATAATAATAATAATAGTATAACATACAAATTAAATAGTAAAAAGATTGGGGGAATCCCAATATAAAAGCAGTTAAAAAAACATTTAAATAAATAAAACTTTAAAATACAAACAAAATGAGGCTAAACAATTTATGTCATAAAAGTAAAAAGCGCGAAAGAAAAAACACTTAAAACAATAATAATAATAATGATAACCATAATAATAATAATAATAATAATAATAATAATAATAATGACAACAACAATAAAATAATAACAATAACAATAACAACAATACAACATAAAAATTCAATAGTAAGAAAGATTGGGGGAATAGGCCTACAAATTACAATATAAAACCAGTGAACATTTAAATAATTAAAACCTTAAAATACAGATAATATGAGGCTAAACAATTTATGTCATGAAAGTAAAAAACGGGAAAGAAAAATAATAATAATAATAATAATAATAATAATAATAATAATAATAATAATAATAATAATAATAATAATCATAATCATAATCATAATCATAATCATAATCATAATCATAATCATAATCATAATCATAATAATCATAATAATAATAATTAATTATAATAAAATCAGACTTTAAAATAACGAAATAATTCGTCATGGATATGTAAGATAAGATCTTTGATATGTAATTAAAAAAAACAACCGGCGGCGCGCTTCAGTAACCGTTGCCGTTTTGGTATTTGTACCATGGAGGTATAAAAAAGTGGTCATTGCTGTTTTGATTTTTTGCTGTTTTGTCCAGAAACCAAAACAACGAATGGATGATCGGAGAAGGAGTGTACCTAAATCTCCACTATTCTAGGTAAATGAGGAGGGTAAAGCACACTTTTATTAAATCAAACGCTACGCTTAAACAAACTGAAAAGAAGCGAGGACGGCATATACCTAGGCCTAGTATGATATGCTAGTCTTGGCTAGACCTAGACCGACTTACTAGGTAAGGCTAGCTAGGGCAAGGGTTGATCCCTAAACTGGACTAGGTTAGGCCTAGGCCCGCTTGCTTAGGGGCAGAAAACGGAGCTAGGGCCTAGGATATTTCCTTCTCCCCGATGCATAGCCTAGGCCTTGTCTAAAATTGTACAAACGGTGTATTAGTAGGGCTAGCTAGTAATAGTATTAATAGATGACTGTTATATCAGTCATTTCATAAGCTTGGCATATGCTACTTGCTTGTTGGATTTTTTCCTTTGGACTGTTTTTGTCTTATTAAATTTTTTTTTTTGTTTCTGTATGTATGAGGGATCATTAATCATTTATGTAACTAATTCATGAGTTTTTAATAATATTTTATTTATGTAAATGTATAAATAATAATTGTTATGTCACTAAATCATTGACAAGTTTGTGAATAAGAAAATGTTTGAAGTTTTGTACACTTTTATTGTTTATTTTGTTTGTTTGGTTTTTTTTTGGCATGTAAACCAACAATTTCAGCCTGCAAGCTGCTTGTTTTAGTTATTTTTTATACCTGAATAAATAAATATTAAACTAATTAAGTGTTAAAGGAAGATTTTAGTAAAGTAAATTAAAGTATACTGTAGGCCTATCTAATTAATTAGGCCTAGTATATTAAGCAGGGAAGGTCCTACAAAAAAAAGTGCACAGAGATGAATTTTATTAATTATTGCTCCATTAGGCTAGGTTAGGGTCTTCATCACTATGATTCCTCCAGTTACTGTATCTAACTTAATATACGTTTCTTTCAAATTTCATATACAATTTTTAATTATTTTTTGCAGGCACTCAATCTTTGATACTGTTTAAGAACAGTCACCATTTGTGGATTTACTTTAAGTTGCCATGGCAATACTACAAGATCTTTGCCAAGATGGTAGCAAAGAAACCAACAATTATACATTTTGGGGCTATAATTCCTATGGAGCTTGCTATGAGCAACTTATATGCATCCTGCCAGCATACATAATATTTGGACTAACTAGCTGTGTCTATGTTGATAGAAAACTTCAAAGCACAAACCCAATTTTAAAAAAATGTAGAAGTTTATTTATTCGATTCTGCATATCGATAACCAGTATATTACTTCCTGTTCTGAACACAATTCTACTGTATGCCTATATTAAAAAATCTTTGAGTATCGCTTACATCTGTGCTACCGCTTTCAGTGCAGTTTCTTGGCTTATTCACAGCGTCCTTGTCTGGCGAATGCGTGGGATGTCTGTTACGCATGTTCGGGGCCCCATTCCAGTGCTTCTTGCATGGATGCTGACTGTTGTCTCAGATTGTATACAATTGAAGACAATCATATTACAATATACACATAATAAAACTGATATGCAGTTAGCTCTAGGGATCATCATAACAACTGTCACTCTTCAGGTTCTGTATTTTGTTACACTGATTCCAGGGCCCACTCATGTTCGGCCATTTTATTTACCGCCTGATAATACCCATTCGTCAAGTATCAATGAAGCTGAAAAGGATGATGTCGATGAGGAGGATGAGTCGTCAAGCCTGCTCGGTACCAGAAGGCAAAGGAGATATGGTACCAGCCCACCTGCGCTGCCAGGTAAGCATATTGAACTAGGGGTCGCAGAAGATGGAGCTAGCATTTTTTCAAAATTGGTGTTTGCCTGGGTTCAACCATTAATGTTAAAGGGGTCAAAAGGACAGATCTCTAAACCAGATGATGTTTTTCAATTGCCATCTCAATTAAGACCACAGATAGTTTCTAGGAAGTTTCAACAAATTTGCAGTAACATTTTTGACACCAAAAGTGTACAAGATCAGAGTAATGGTCATGTTCCGGAAGAAAACGGTTTAACTGATCAGCCGTGCGTCATATATTCTTCCTCCGCCAATAAAAAACATGGAAAGTACAAACTTATCAGTTGTTTGAACAAAGCATTTGGACTGAAGTTCTACTTTTTAGGAATCGTTAAATTCATTCAGGATTGCATTGGTTTTGCCGGGCCTATCTTTCTACATGCGTTGGTGTCGTATATAGAAAACAGCGGGGAATCAACATCTGATGGCTATTATTATGCAATGGGGTTATTTTTTTCAACATTGCTTGGAGCATTCCTAGGATTACATTTCAACTACCAAGTCAGTAAGATCCAAGTGAAAGTTAGGGGCGCATTGATAAGTACGATTTACCGCAAATCGGTGCGTGTTAACATGGCCACGATGTCTAAGTTTACGACAGGAGAGATTGTGAATTTTATGAGCACAGATACGGACAGGGTTGTCAATTTCTGCTCAAGCTTCCATCAGTTCTGGAGTCTTCCATTCCAAATAGTGGTGGCTTTGTATTTGCTGCATCAGCAAGTTGGACTCGCATTTTTGACGGGGCTAGGCTTCGTGTTGCTGCTTATTCCAGTCAACAAATGGCTGACGGTAAAAATTCAAGGCTACAACGAGAGTATGATGAAGCAGAAAGATGACAGAGTGAAGGTATGTAGTGAGCGAACCCTGATATAAACATGTATAGAACATCATGTGTATGGTAACTTTAAAAAGTTTACAACTGATTAGCAAGGATTAGGTCACAAGTATTGTATAGTCCATAAGGTAAACCAACAATCACATATCACACACAACATAGGCCTCCAAACAGGCACAGCCTTTTACAGTAAATATTTAGGAAGCTATAAGTAACAGTTCTTTGTCTTTACTATAGATATTAGTTGATGCAAGTATTCTTTAAACTATGCATCACATCACAGTTTACTATTTTCAGACAATTCCAAAGGCCGCTCTAATCTTAGGCCTAGCCTATGTGTATGTTAAATTATAGTTTATGTCGACTGACCTTTACCATGGGCATGCGCAGTTTAAACTAAAAAATTTCTTACTGCTTGTTTTAAATTTTTTTTAAAATTATTTTTTAATTTTTTAAATTTTATGCAAGTGGACATGTACTGTATTCATATGCTAGATAAATTCTATTGGTCAGTGTTGATGTTTCATGATTGGCTCACTACATCTTTTCGTGCAGCTTATGAGTGAGATCCTGAGTGGAATACGTGTGATCAAATTCTACGCTTGGGAACTGAGTTTCCAGGAGAAAGTCAACAGGCTGCGTTCTTTGGAACTGGACAGTCTGAAAGGCATTAAGTACCTGGATGCTTGGTGTGTCTACTTCTGGGCTACCACACCTGTCCTCATCTCCATCTTAACATTCACAACATATGCTGGTATAGGAGGCAGCTTGACAGCAGCGAAGGTAAAAACTTTAGTGATTGTTGTGAATTGTCAGGGGGTAGTTTCAAGGTAGGGGGAGAGCATTGTGTTTTTTTGTCACTATATATGTACAGTATGGTGAGGTGTTTGAGACAGTAACAGAGAGCATTCATAATACCTATAGTTTCATTTCATTATTTATTGGGTCTTTTAAACAACATTATGTACATAACAGAAAGCTACAAAAAATAAACAACTAAAATTTTGAGAGACCAGGGTAAACCAAAGTGGACCAAATCACTAGCTAAACTGATTGACACAAATCCTGGTCCTATCTTAATCCTATATAAATAAATATATGGTTATTTATCCTTAAAGGTTTTTACAAGTGTTGCTCTATTCAACATGCTGATTGGCCCATTAAATGCATTTCCTTGGGTCATCAACGGTGTCATTGAGGCCTGGGTATCAGCTCGTAGGGTGGAGTCGTTCCTTCAACTTGAAGATAATGATCTCAATAAGTATTACAAGCCAGGTAAGTTGAATGTTAAAATAATAGTACCACTTGTCTTCTCATTAATTTCGTTTATTTTTATATTGAAAATGTAACCATACTATGGCTTCACTAAGATATCATCTTTGACAAAACTTACATATTTGTAGGTTTCACTTAGTAAATTTAGGATAATTTATTTGGTTTATGAATATACTGTAGTTTTTTAAAATCTTTGCTCTGTTTCTCAGGCCCAATGAATGGCGACCAATCAGTACTTGATGTCCAGATTCAAAATGGACACTACAATTGGGGTAAATATCGAAGTCCAAATATGTCTGACCAATCAAATGCAGTAGAAAGATCTGATGTGGAAGGGGATGGAATGGCAAAGCCAGCTGGAACGCTATCTCTAACAGACATCAACTTATCGGCCTTTAAGGTAGAGTAGGGTCATGGATTTATTTTGTTTATCAAGTGATATGAAAACCCTGCTCACTTAACCGAACTGAGTGAAACATGATGTGATGTCTCCAGAGAAACTTACCAATAACTTAATACTCTCTATAAACCACAATTCTAACTCATAATTCAACAGATAGTTGTAATTAGTTTGATATTTGATATTTATTTATTTGTTATTTATTTTATATTTATTTATTGATTTGATATTTATTTATTTATTTATTTGATATTTATTTATAACAGATATTTGATATCTGTTATAAATAAATATTTGATATTTATTTATAACAGATATTTGATATTTATTTTTTTATTTTATTTATTCATTCTGAAGTAATTACAAGTAAAAACATTCAAGGATAAAAACACAGAAAAGTACAAAAAGCAACTTATTTCCACTGTGGTCCCTAAATTTGTATTTGTAGTTTTTTGTTTTTTTAAATATTTACCACATCTATGCATTTTAATAATATTTTATTAACAACCAGACTTGAATCTCATGGAAAAGACTTACATAATGCTCATCACATCTCTGAGCTGAAAGTTAAAACAAATAGGCTAGTTAAGAGTCCAATTTCATACTTTTAATATTAAAATTCACAACAAGCAGCAGTAAACTGATTTTTGCAACAGTGCTCCTCCATTGAAATCCATTCTTTTCTATATTTTACCTTTTGATATTTTTTTTTTTTTTTTTGTAGCTTTTGTTAATTTATTGCTGTTTGACACATGTATATATATGCAATATGGCCTTTTGGCCACAAGGTGTATTGTTTTTTTTGTGTAACTTTTCAAATAAAGATATATTATTGGATTCTAATGCAGTATTTATTATTTTATTCCTAATAATAGGGTCAGCTTATAGGGGTAATCGGAACAGTAGGCTGTGGAAAGAGCTCTTTGCTTGCAGCTCTAATGGCCGAGATGAACCATGATAGAGGGTCAACATGGGTGTCAAGCTTGGAGGAAGGCTTTGGCCTAGCTGCCCAAGAGTCCTGGATACAGCATGCAACACTCAGGGATAATATACTGTTTGGTGAAGAGTATGATAATGAGAGATACAATGCTGTTCTACAGGCTTGTGCTTTGATTGAAGATCTTAAGGTAGGCTTCCAAATCAGTGATAATGATAATGACAGCAACGGATGTAGTGTGATAATAATAATAATATGTCGTTCTTATATAGCACTTAATGCGATTGTCTATAATGAGGATGATAAGTAATTATAGTAAAGGTATAATGATGATAATTAAGGGCATGTTGGGAATTTTGCAGGCTGTTCTTCATTAAAAATGCTGTTGTTTTTCAATCATTTATATTTTGGTTTATGTAGATCCTTCCAGCAAGTGACAAGACAGAAATTGGTGAGAATGGCGTAAACTTAAGCGGTGGTCAGAAGGCAAGGGTTGCACTAGCTAGAGCAGTCTATCAGGTCAGAAAATAGCAATATTTTTTTTTTAATGCTTTTTTCGAATAAGCGCCGCACTGAAGCCTCCAAAAATGTTATGAAAGCTGTGGCGCTTATTCGGGCATTTATTTAATCATAGTTTATTATTGTTACATATGATCATTCTTTTTTACTATTTAGTTTTTATTATTATTTTGGTAATATTTTTTTAATGTAATTAAATTATTATCATTGTTGCTGTTCTTTTTTAATTCATTTTATACATTATAATATTGATATTCCTAAAAGAGTAATAATTATAAATAACAGTAATGTCATCCTTATTATTAACTTGTGATGAATATAATTTTATTAGTATCATTGTTATAATCACCAACAATTTTAATTATTTTTACATGACATTTTAGTTTTCAAATGGTGTTATTAATCTTTAATAATCCATATAATTCTTTATTAATTCTTATTAATCTGTGTATTGTGGGATTAGGATAAAGATATCTATCTACTGGATGATCCTCTATCTGCTGTTGATGCTCACGTTGGTGACCACCTGTTCAACAAATGCATCTTGGGAATTCTGAGAGAAAAGACCAGAATCCTTTGCACCCACCACATCAGATACCTTTGGCAAGCTGATGTCGTGGTTGCTATGGCAAATGGTACCATAACATCTATCGGTAAGGAAGAGTGATGGATGGTGATGGTATTGTAACGATGATGGAAATTGGCTGGAATTGACGAAGCTTTTGATGATGAAAATTATGATCATTTTTTTCTGATTGTGGTACTGATGATAATGTTATAGATGATGATTTTGATGATTATTGTGGTCGTGAGAATTATTTTAATGAATCTGATGGTTATGGTTTTATGATGGTGATGATTGAGATGACTATAATTTTGATAATGATTTTGGTAAGAGCAGTACCATTTTAGATGTTGGTAAGTAGGTAATTATGGTGATGGTAATGTTAATATATTTACTATTATTTTTGTAGGCCCACCATCAACAGTTCTCAATGAATTTGATTTGAGTGAAGATGGCCTAACGCCAGCTGCAAGTGGGAGTGGGGATACACTGCACGACGAGAAGGATGATTTGACTGGTGGTGACGAACACATCGACGACACCAGCGATAAACTGATACAAGAGGAAGAACAGGATAAAGGCGTTGTGAAGCTGGATGTGTATCATGCTTATTGGAAGGCTGTAGGCAATGTTTTAGCAGTTGCTGTATTCATATCTTTGTTCTTTATGCAAGGTAACTAACATCTAGTGTCGTTATTCCTTCAAAGTTCATTTAAATAGTCTTATATTTTTTAGTACACTGCGCTTGCACAGATATACTCTATGCTGTGGTAGTTTAGTTTTTATGTAAAATGGAATGTGTTATGTTCATGGAATTTTTATGTAAAATGGAATGTGTTAATATTCATGGAATTTTTATGTAAAATGGAATGTGTTAATATTCATGGAATTTTTATGTAAAATGGAATGTGTCAATGTTCATGGAATTTTTATGTAAAATGGAATGTTTTAATGTTCATGGAGTTTTATATAAAATTGAATGTGTTAATGTTCATGGAATTTTCCTGTAAAAGGGAATGTGTAAACGTTGTTCATTTCAGTTCATTTCATTTGACAGACATGCCAAGTACAGAGTGAATGTAGTTTTTTATAAGCGAGTTGGTAATTGGTCCTACATTCTGACAGATGACCAATGGCTGATAGCATCTTGTCTGATAATAGACTATCTTAGAGTAATTTGGCCTAGTTCCTGCAGTATACTCATTCTCCTAGTATTAGGAGCCTATTTTTATACAAGGTTTTATAACTTTTAACATACACAATAATTTATTATTATTTTAAACGCAGGAATATATTTTAGACCATGATGCCCCTAGAATTGTTAACTTGTAATATATTTCATTTTCAGCTTCAAGAAATGTGAATGATTGGTGGTTGGCATTCTGGGTAACGCATTCAGCAGACCAGGAGACATTGGGCTACAAACAAAGGTAGGGGGAGTTACAGAATGCTGATTAAGATGCTTCACTTCCAGTCCTAGGATCCTGTGTTTAAATCCTGCATTGTTGATGGAGTGGAGTTGAATAGCTTGGTGGTTAAGGTGCTTGCCTTCCAATCCTAGGGTTCTGTGTTCAAATCTTGCAATGTAGACTTGCCACAAGTCTCTAATTTATGGATTTTTCGTAATATTAGCGCATTTCGGAATGCACCACCAGCGTCAGTTCATGTTGAGAAACTTTTTTGATGAGAATAAGTTAAAAAAAAAAAAAAAATGAGAAAAAAAAAAAAAAAAAGTATACTATGGAACGCCATGCAAATAAGTAATATGGAACGCCATTTGTGCCAAAATCAATTTATTCTTAAGCATTTCAACTGATTAAGACAAAGATTAGGGACTGGAACCCAGTCTACTTGCAATGTTGATGGAGGAGAATGGAGCTACCGAATTGTTGTTAAGATGTTTACCTTCCAAACCCATGGTCCTGAATCAAGTCCTACAAGTTTTTAAATTTATATAACATTTTTAAAGTCATGCAAATTTTTCTAATTCAAAGAATTAAGCATATTTTTTTTAAATATTTGTAGGTCTGTTGAAGTACAATATACTTATTCCAATTCCTCAATAACGCCAAAGAATCTAACAACAGCCACAGACAACTTAAGATTCTACCTCGGTATTTACGGCGGATTAGCTGTTGCAAACTCTGTCTTTACTCTTCTCCGAGCATTTTTATTTGCGTATGGAGGTTTATGCGCCACAAAGCTGATACACGACGACGTATTTAACAGAATCCTGCAAGCGCCAATTTCATTTTTTGGAGAAACACCGATTGGAAGGATCCTAAATCGGTTCTCATCCGATGTTTACAGTATAGATAAAGATTTACCGTTCATGCTGAATATATTCTTGGCTCAGGTGTTTGGTATTCTTGGTACCATCATCATCACCTGCTATACTTTACCATGGTTCATTCTGGTGCTAGTACCCATATTCCTGGTGTACTACCTTATACAGGTTGGTATTCTTTCATCATATTCATTATCAATATCATTATTATTATTATTATTATGATCATCCTTAGTATCTTCGTCACCATCATAATCATCATCATTTTACATTATGTCTTATAATGCATGATAATGATATAAAATATGTATTATAAGACATAATACATATAAAATATGTATTATGTCTTATAATACATATTTTATATCATTATCATCCCTTATCATTAACATCATTACAATAATGTAACATCTGTAATGTTTCCTTTTGTCTTTAAGAAATATTACCGAAAAACATCAAGAGAGTTGAAACGTGTAACAAGTGTTACACGCTCACCAATTTATGCACATTTCTCTGAAAGTCTTGCTGGCCTGATGACAATCAGGGCATTACGAGCATCTGAACGGTAAGTATTAGAGGGCTCACCACAATTCTTGTAGCTTGTAACAGTCACATACACCGAAAGGTCCACTGATTAATCTCAGATAAGAAAGTATAATACATACTCCAAGTATTGAAATACACGCCATCGTGTTGGGATTCAATATTTCGACATTAATTATGTCATCATCAGGAATGAAGGTATCACCTACACAGTGGAGATAATTCAGCTACGTACCATTCCAACATACCACTCTCTAACCTTTAGAGATGTTCATTTGAAGTGTTAATGTTATTGTACTTGTGAGCATATACTCATCAATCCAATCCTTATTAAACATTCTGAGCTTGCCAGCTATTGATTAGTTGCAGTGAATTGTATTGCTTCCTTATGTATAGACACACCTGCTAAATGTTAGATTGTGACATATATATATATTTATTTATATTTTATTTATTCAATTTCATACTGTACAATTTATACATTACAAAAAAACTGACAGAACAATATGAAAATTAAAGTGTGACAGTACACACCTGAATTATTCATGCTGTTTTCTTCAGAATTTAAAATAATTGAATCGGTTTATTTTTTTATGATACTCCAAAGGTTTGAAAAGGAGAATCTGACAAGACTTGAGCAGAACCAGCGTGCTGATTTCTGCAGTCAAGCTGTGACAATGTGGCTGGGATTTTGGCTTCAGTTGTTAGGCGTGGTCATGGTTGGAGCTGTAGGATTGCTGTCAGTTTTGGAGCATCACAATGGCGGTATAAACCCTGGTGAGGTTTTAGAAATGTTGCTAATTCAGCAAATGTTGCATAACGTTAAAACTGTGCCTTACAGTCAAAAGGTTTTGGACTGCTTGTGTCCTTGGGTAGTGGTGTATCTAGGATTCTTGAGATGGGGGTGCGAAGGTGAAGTGAGGGATGGCCTGATACTTCAACTTGAGCATGAATAATTTGCTTTGAACTTTTTCAATATGAGGGGGAGGCGACCAGGGCTGTGAGCTTTTTTAGACACGGTACTGTCCTTTGGCAAAACCATCTTAGCTAAAGTTTACTCTCTTCATTCATGAGTATAAATAGGTACCAATTTGTGGGTGGAGTTTAATGATTCTGAATGTAATTGGTGATTGCAAACATAACTAGGAATACTCCCCAGGGAGTGGGGGAGGTTACATGTTTTGTATGATTGATTCTGTATCCAATGGCCGGAGGGAATAGTGCCTTATACAGATAGGGAAGGTAAATATTTATTTATTTTTTTAATTTATTTAATTTAATGGATACAAGCCAACAGGTGACAAGCACCTCTACAACGGCTCACTAAAAATGATATACAGGGAAAGGTTCAGAAACTTGCCTAAACATATGTACAACAACATTCTATTATTTTCATGTTTGGTTACTTGCAGGACTTGTTGGCCTAGCCATCTCCTACATTCTTGGAATCACCGGGCAGCTGATGGGCGTCATAACCTCATTCACTGAAACAGAGAAGCAGATGGTTAGCGTTGAACGTATTATGCATTACATCAATGAGGTGCCTCAAGAAAGTCAAAATGCATTGATCTATGTAAGATGCAGTTTTTTTTGTATGCTTGATGCAGATTGCTACATGTTGTGATTTGTTGCTACTTATTACTATAGCTTGCTAGTGGTTGCTACTTGATACTAAAGCTTGCTGCTGGTTACTACTAGTTAATACAGATTGCTACTGGTTGCTACTGGTCACTACTGCTAGTTACAAGTTGTTACTTATTGCTACAGCTTGCTGCGCTGCTCCTGATTACTACAACTTGATACTACTTTTTCTTGGTTACGACAGCTTGTTGCTCCTGAATACTCTAGCTTGTTACTAGTTACTACTTGTCACTACAGCTTGCTGCAGGCTGTTACTTGTTGCTACAGTTTCTTGCTGGTTGCTCCTTGTTACTACAGCTTGTTGCTGGTTGCTCCTGGTTACTGTATAGGCTTGTTGCTGGTTTCTACTGGTTACTACAGCTTGCTGCTTGCTACTAGTCACTATAGCTTAGCTGCAGGTTATTACTTGTTGCTACAACTTTCTGCTGGTTACTGTTTATTACTACAGATGGCAGCTTATTGCCAGAATTTGAATTTGCTAATTGTATTAAAATCATTTACATTCTGCCTTATGTACATGCTACATGATTTATATTAGAAATAACTGAATATGCAATAATTTTTATGATTCATTTTAATTCAGACTCCAGTTCAATGGCCATCTCTAGGTCGAATATGTTTTAATGGGGTCAGTTTTTCTTATCGACGTCATCTACCCAATGCTCTGAATTCTGTCACGTTCACAACAGGACCAGGAGAAAAGATTGGCATTGTTGGAAGGACAGGTTCGGGAAAATCCAGCCTTTTCCAAGCCTTGTTCCGAATGGTTGAAATTCAGGATGGTTACATCACCGTAGATGGCACCAACATCTCACATATTCAAGTTCAAGATCTAAGGTTATTATTTTTTTTAATATTTTATTTTTATTTGTGTTTTTGTTGGATTATTTTTATTTATTTTTAGTCATTTACTGATAATAATGGTGCATTGTTACACCTGCTTGATAATGGTAATATTAAGTATATGATGATTATAATAATTATGATCATCATAATGACAAGAAAGATGCTGTGTTTTCTGTTTGTCATTGTTTGATTGATTAAAATTGATAATGATGATAATAATTGACTGATAACATGTATAATATTTTAAATGAATAACAGTTATTAAATATGGATCCGCCTGATTGTCAACGTTCAATGTCTCTTCAGGTCTAAACTAGCTATCATCCCGCAGGATCCATTCTTATTTTGCGGCACAATCAGAGAAAATCTTGATCCAAAGGGAAACTATTCAGATGCTGAATTATGGTCCATCTTGGAGAAGTGCCATCTGAGGGAAGTGGTTCGAGATTTAGGGGGATTGGAAGGGGAAGCTGCGGAAAAAGGTCGTCATTTTTCAGCAGGTCAACGTCAGTTAGTTTGCTTAGCCAGAGCAATGCTGACAAGGGCAAAGGTAAGATAGCTTGAAATTTTTAAATTTTTTTTGTAAGGTTGATGTTGCAACAATGGATTGAATATTTACTTCATTGTAGAGTAGTAGTGTATCAGTATAAATTAAAGTTAGATCTTATAAATATTATTTTTATTATTATTATTATTATTATTATTATTGTTATTATTACTATTATCATTTATTCTTAGATATTCTGTCAATGGATTGAATATTCACTTCATTGTAAAGTAGTAGTTTATCAGTAGAAATTAAACTTAGATCTTATAAATATTATTTTTATTTTTATTATTATTGTTGTTATTATTATTATTTTATTCATAGATGTTCTGTCAATGGTAAATCCTGAAAAAAAATTCAATTGCTCATTTAAAGGCCGACTCATCATCATACAACGCAGCCTGACACAATTTATCATTGAGAATAATCCTTAGGTCTTAGAGAGAATATTTTAAATGTTTAATATTCTATGATGTGGCTATTCGCATTTATGATGATGACACACAATTTTGTTTTATAATTATTATCTACACTATTATTATTAATGCATTTATTCAGCTCTACTATTTTTATTTAAAGATTTTGTGCATTGATGAGGCCACAGCAAGCATCGACCACGACACCGACAAACTCCTTCAAGACACCATTCGCACGGAATTTCGCCAGAACACAGTCTTAACTATCGCCCACCGTATCAACACAGTCCGGGACAGTGACCGGGTGATCGTAATGGACTCGGGCAAGATCGCGGAATTCGACACCCCTGATGAACTACTGCGAGACACACAGTCTTTGTTTTACGGGCTAGTGCATTTAAAATAAACCCTTGAATTTTTATATCACCTCATATGTACTTATTTATTTAAAAAATATATACACTTTGTTGTCACAATGTTTTTCTTCGTCAGCTATTTGATTTATATTTAATTTGAAAAAGCTAATTATTTTAGATTTATATTATGCACAATTGAAGTGCCTATTTTTTATATATGTAACTTAAATTGAAGCATTCTATTCTGTAATTATCGTGTTTTTCATATGAAAAATTAAATAACCAATTAAATAGAGTTATATAATAGAATAGGCTCTCAATTATTTGGCATGTGTGTCTATAATTTATCAATACTACGAAAATTGTAGTAATAGATTTACCAGCACTTGGGCACAGACTTTTTATAGATTGTTGATACATGAACGGTTGGCCTAGGCCACCACGTTGACACTTAGGGGCCACGTTAGCTTAGGGTAAAACACAGGCTTCATTTTGTTGTCATGGTTTGTCATTAATTGTATTGACTAAAATACTATTTTGTTTAGTGATGTCAAAAAAAAAACTCTGTTGTTGTATTCTGTCGATAATAAATGAGATTCAAAGTGTTGGCAATCATTTTTCCTGAGTAGCCTACTGATTGGTTGATGAAGGTAGATTACTCTTGGCAAAACTTTGACAACAAAAATAGTCTGGATTTCCACAAATGCATACAAAAGGTGTTTGTATAACTTCTGTGTATTAAATATAAAATATTGTGCCAAAAATATTTTAGAAATGTAAGATATGAAATAACAATTGCTAAAGAAGTCAGAAATAACAAAGTTTAAAAAGTAAATGTTTATGGTTTTATTCAAAACAGTGTTACACAGACTTTCTGAACTAAGCATATGTGATATTATGTTAGTACACAGATGGAATTCATTAGCTTTAAAAATTAAACCATTACCACCATTAGAATACATATTACTTTTGATATTGCTTTCACACCTGTACTGTTTCTTTGAGTTTTTTAACTGAGTGTGGTGTGATGTTTAATGTATGAACACAAATGAAATTAATTATTTTCCTTTAATAAAAAAAGAACAAAGAAAACGAACATCTTATTTCTTATTCTGTAATAGTATTTGTAACAAAATTTTAAAGGAAGGATATGTGTATACTCTTATACACATCTTCATTGTTTGATTGGGTGGGTAGGTATGTAGGTAGATAGAGAGTTGCTGGTAGCAGGTTACTGGGTAGCACAGACATGAAGGGACCCTTAGGGGCGAAGATATAAAACTACACTATTATTATTATTACTATACAAATAAACTAAGATGATTGTTTAATTATATTACATATTTGGCAGGTATTAGATTACATTATATTGTTATTTATTGTTTATGTTAATGCTTTTAGCAAATAAAAAAGTTTGTGTGCATATGAGGTACCTGCCATTGATTACACATTATATTTGTTGTTGTGTAACAGTATGGCGACACTCCATTTCACGAATTGTTGCAAAGTGACCATGAATACCAAGTTCACCAGGACGGAACCCAATCCTTGTTACATGCTGGAGCTGTGGAGCTGACCCGAGTCTATTGAACCAGGCAAATTTGCCTATATAGCCTTTCTTATTTTATCGTATATATATATATATATATATATATATATATATATATATATGTGTGTGTGTGTGTATATGTATGTGTATATGTATGTATATATATATATGTGTGTGTGTGTATATATATATATATGTGTATATATATATGTACGGATATCCGTTTGATTTTGTTATAGCTTAATAAATTTGTGTTCCGCAAGTCAACTTTCGATGATTGTACACCGTTTTTTCATTGCTTTTGCATTTTATTTCACTTGGAGCATACATGCAAACCCAATCTTCAATATATATATATGTATGTATATATATGTGTATATGTGTGTGTGTGTATATATATATAAATCAAGATAGGATGTAGGGAAAATCTAAACCGTCTTTTGAAATGCTATATAAATAAATATGTAAATAATAAGTCCTCATATAGGAACATAAGATGTAAGGATCATACCAAATGTGGAGGGGTCACCTAAAACTCCAGGTTCCGTTAGATGTAGTCCATTGAGTAATGTTTATATATAAAACGCCACCTGGAGTGGTATAAAAAACAATTAATGAATTGAATACTTTTTCTAATGCGCCATTCCTTTATGATGATGAGGAGGATGATGTTGATCATTATAATAATAATAATAATAATAATAATAATAATAATAATAATAATAATAATAAACTCAGATAGAAACAGTATATAGGCTGTTATGTGACACAAAGGTAATAATGGTCAATCCGACCCTAATTACTTGCAATTAAAATTTATCACCCTTTTAAAGTGAGAAATTTTTGTAAAGTATGTGGGTGCCATTTCCCGGCAGAGGAGCCATTTTTTCAAACCATGGAGTTGTGTCCGCCCCTTGAGGGGACCATGTAGTGGCTCTACTGGTTACCAGCATGGGCGCAGATCATGGGAAGATGGGGGACACGTCCCCCACATATTTTTAAGGTGGGTTTGGTAACTCTTACTTTTCAACCGCAACGTAATTTCATAAGTAAAGAAGATGCCTGGAAGTTGTTGAATTGAACTGCATAAATAATGACCCAGGTTTTAACGAAAGAGCGCTGTACAGCCAAAGTACAGTACTGTAACATCATATCTTATAGCAAGATTTCGGTATCTCTACCCACTAACATCTGAATTATCTGTAATGTATAATTTGTGAAGTATGAGAAAAAGTATAAGATTGGTTTTCGGCACACGAAGTAGGTAAATTAAAATAAATACATCAAAGACAATTAAGTTCCATTTTTTATGGTACAATACAGAAGTTAATTAGATTTTTATTATTGCCGAAAATTGCAGTTAAAAGATCATGGTGACATGATTACTATATAACAGTGTCATTCCGGCCAATTTGAGGTGTTATTCCTCAACCATGATGGGGTTGACGTAGGTGTGAACTCGCGGCTTTGAAGTAAGTAAAGTAAAGTAAATACATTAAAAATGGACTCTATGGTTGCAGAAAATCGATGATAAAAGATCATGAGAAATTTGTTGGCGCTTCATTTTTACTATAATGGTGATGTGATGATGACGAATGTTACTATATAAAAGTGACATTTCCGGCCATGAAAGGTACTATTTCCCACAATTTTTGCACCTCTGCCACAACCATGGTGGGGTTGAGATGGGTGTGCTCTATTGATGTGAATGATTCTCTTTATAGGCTGAAACAGAGTGGCAGCATTTTTTATGTAACTGTTTAGAAGTTGTTGCCAAGACGGCAGAGCTACTACCAAGGTCGGCATTTCAATTCTTGGTAAGAATGATAAATTGTTGATGTAATATAAATAAAAAACATTTTTCCATCTAGTTTTTAAATATTTAAAAAATATCACTCTATGTGTCTTTAAAAAAAATCAGTTGTACATGATGTCAAAACTTGTTTTTTTCTTCTGGAGGTTTTAAAGACAGATGTTTTTCTTGTATTTAGTTTCAGATATTTCAAGAGAACTTAGATGTATATCTTGGATTAGGTGTCTTTATTATTGAATCATCTGAAGGTAAACAATACATTTAACTGTTAAAAAAAGCACTTATCTATGTTTTTGTCTCCACACAGAAGAATAAACGTGTACCTGATAGGATGTAGTGGTGTTGAATGTAATAATAATAATAATAATAATAATTGTTGACTTATTTAGTGCATATTGTACACTAACCTCTATGCGCTTTACATTATTACCCTGGTCACTGGATCAAGAACATGGAACACAACACTCATGCCCCATAATGTTGCAGCTGTAATCAGCGCATGGTTGTTTGAACCTACCAGGTACCCACTAGTACTCCTGGGTGGAGAGAGACAACCATAAAGTACCTTGCCCAAGGAAACAAGCGACTTGCACAGCGAGAGTTTCGAACCCCAAAACTTAAGGTTGGGAGTCCAAGCCACGACCGATGTGCCAACAGCTTCTATCTGTGCATTAAATATTGGCAAGTTGGAGCTAAGATAGATACATGTACATATAGTATATTTATAGACATATCAGTAATTCCTTTTCCTAAAATAAATAAAATCAAAATCCAGTACATTGCCGAGGAGCAGCAAAAGTGGCATAAACCACGGTCATCCATCCAGGATATGCTTTTCTGACCTGACTTCTGTGCTAACATCATCTATAATAATTGTTTGTTGATTGCAATCACCATCAACGTAAGAGTAACAGAAGGGCACCTCTCACCATTCTCAAGGAATTTATGTCATACAAACACTGCAGAATATACTGTAGTTCTAGTGTTCATTTACTGAGCTTACGTTTCTTGGCCAATGGGGGTTTGATGTTTGAGCCTGGGGATACAAACCCATCACCACTGCCAGATCCCGAATGATTTTCCCCCTTCTCTTCTTTGATATTGCTGGTATCAATAAACTCTGGTGTATGTTTGTGTTCCATCACAATAGGTTTTTCACCTGGTTTAGGCTGCAATATCGATAATTGAGAAAGAAAGAATGAATATTTATTAATAATAACAATTATTATATTTTAGATTAATTATATGAAGTGATATGCGTGAGCACCTAACACTGGATGGAAACTCGCATATATTAAAGCATCTGAAAAGTTCACGTCACTGTAAACAATCAGCCAATGAGGACTGTTTCACAATACTGGACTCCGCCTCTACAACCCAAAT